GAAAACATTTCGACAACGACTCACGTTTGCGTTCCCTGAAAAGCACCTCGAAGAAATGTAAATATCATAGAGACAAAAGAGGCACAGAGAAAATCTAACAATATAGAGAAAATACAGAGAAAATCTAACAACATAAGGTGAAGTGAATAGTGATATTCAGATGGGAACTTCTGCTAGTGAACAACTCAACCATGTAACCTGTTGAGGTGGGAGAAACGAATTTGAACAATATAGTGCCCTATTCCCTTCTCTGCAAACAGCCTTGTACACAGAGAGACGGTTAAGAGAAAAGAAAAGAGGAAGAGGAAGAAGCAGCTACGGGATAACAAACTCATTTCATCGCGAGCGTTGCATTGGGAGCAGAGAGCATAGCGCAGAGGTTGGTATTCTTTGTAAACTTTGTATGAGCTCGATGAGTGATCGATCAGGATGGATTGAGTGTCGCTTGACAGCCCTGTTGCAGCAAATCACTCGCACTTTTTCTTCTTTAAATCAGCTCCTGATCGGGCAGCAGTCACACATCATATTTTTTTCCTCACCACTGGCTTTGTACAAAACACATGACCTCGCACACGCAACCCCACAGATTAAAATGCTATAGTCTCATTCCTATCGCTCCGTCTCCCCTAAAACCATACATGCCCATCAGTAAAGTTGGTCGGCGTGCATCGGCGAGCCCAGCAGTCGATCCCCCGCTTCGACGACGTCATAGTGGGGAGGACGACGACGTCGCAGTAAATTCGGGCGCAAAGCTGCATTTGATGAGCGTCGCCCCGGCGCATGCGCCACGCGGCCCGTGCAACATTGTGTAGGTCAGGACCGGCGGGGCGATCAAGACGTCGCCCTCATCACCGTGACCAAAAGGCCCGCCGTCGATCGGGTCGGGAGCGGGCGCTCCATTAGCACCGAATCATTTTGTTGATGTATGGTGAAACGCGGGGGAGGAGAGGCGAAGATCACGTTAAATAGGACAATTGTGTGGTTATAAACACAGCAGGCTTCGTCGACTTGAAAGGTGGACTTATGGTAAAATTTCAACCGTGGCTGCAATTACATTCTGTATTCAAAGCAGGCCAAATAATTGTGGAAATGAGCAAATTTCTAAATTTATTTACAAATCGGCATTTTTTGTGTTATTAAATGCACTTCTTGGGTTAAATGGATGATTTCTGTTTGCGAAATTGATCGTAAATTACCTAAATATTTTTTTCTCCAAACAATGTTTTGGAAAATTATGTATTTAAACGGACTTTTCTTTTGTTGCAATAAATATCCACTCAAAGAAATTCAAAAATATTTAAAAAGAAGGTCTCCTTAAACACAACTTTCTTAAAAATATGTTCGTAGCTCATCTTAAAGTAACTTTTAACCAGCACCTTAATAAACTGCGCAAAAGAAGGCTACAGCATCACACACCACCCGGCCAGGGCTGGTGATAAACCCGTGGGATTTCGGAAAGCCGGTACACGAAGGTGGCTGGGCGGCTGTGGCGCACGCGGGCGTGGTGGGGAGACTCGGGGAGCGGGGAGGCCTCACAAAAGGAAACAAAGGAAGACGTAAAAATCCATTGAAGGGAACCTGCGGCTGCGTGATTCAGCAACACGACGCCATTCACCGCCCTGCGTCTTAAACGCAGCCTAAAGACGATGCTACACGCTGCTGCGGCTGCCATGGGAGAATTTAGGAAAAAGGCGACTTCTTCAAGGCCAACTTTACAGTTAAAAGAACTAAAAAACAAAAAAATAAAAGGGTAGGAACTGGAATATTATCCACACTTAATGCGTCTTTGTTCTCACAAGCTCGCATTTTGTTACAATTTGTTTTCATAAAGTCAGCCCTTGGTCGCCGCGCCACTGTACGGTTTTGTGGCACCCCGAGAGACGCGCCGATATAGTGACCACGCAATGACGGCAGGGGACGTGTCTTTTGTCTCGTCACTCCGCGGTGAGCTCCGGCAAACAGACTGCGC